GAAATTGTAAAAATTGAAATTAAAAATCGATATCGTCAAATTCAGAAATATTCGATCGTTCTTCACCAAAACAATGATCTTTTCTGTCGTACTAAAGAGCTCAATCAAATCTTATTGCTCATGATCGACGATGTCAGCCAATACATTAAAGCACTTTACGAGATATTTGTGACTTCTTCAAACTAACTTTTGTTCAGGCCTAAAGACGAGCGTTTCATGAGCAAGTCGCGTTTAGATATCCAAGTGAAAAATACACCATCACAATAACGTTCCATCATAGCAAAACAACATCACATATTGGTTTCTCTCAATCGATCCTCGATAACTAAAAAATTCATCGGTGGGATGAAAATAAATTCGAAGTATAGAGCGTTCGAATTTATTTTCGTTATAACATAACAGCTTCTCGAAATGCTAATTTCCCGACCCCCTCCGTTACCTTCCACGAGACCCCCAAATTACTCAAAATGAGCAATTTTACCCCCTGAGAACCACTGCTCTAATTGTAAGATGTTCACAAGAACAATCATCGTAAATCATCAGAATTTGTCTATTCTACAACGCTAAACTCAGAAATTCACCGCTCCATCATAACTCCTCTCCATGCCATAGACTTTTTCAAATTCCCGTCCAGTTCGCGCTTTGTATTCGAGTGTCTCATTTACCTGGAACATTCGAAAAATGCGCACTAACCATCTAAATATAGGTCATCAATTCCCGTTCGTATGTTGCGTTACATAAGAAAATATACTAGAAGGTTGGCGGTTCAAGTTAATAAATTGATAATTTTTGCGTGATCACCTTAAGCAGCAATATTCAAATATTCGACTCGTGTATGTGTCTGATAGAACAACACATACGGATAATAATATATGAATCGCCAAAAACTATAAGTTACATTCCGTGTTGTGATTGAATATGTAAATCAGTTTATCTGAAGAAGTAAAACGTGATGATGGTGTATTGATTGCATTTTATATATTGTATATTAATACNCAACTATTGTTACTTTACATAATTTTTGTCAGTTGCATAAGTTTTATCCTATCATTTATCGGTTATTTGATTGCTACATTCAATTCATATAAATGTGATACTATTTTGAGTTAATAACTGAAAAATGTTGAGCATGTCAACTATTGTCCGCTCTTTCGTGGCTCTTGGGGAACGAAACTGCTGTGAAACGTTTTAGATGAACCTTTCGTGTATATGTTGATTGTTAGTGATCAGTTTTCTTAAAGCATCTATCTTCGATCAGAAGAAAGATTAAGTGAACAATATCGTATGTTAAGGCAGCAAACACAAATTTGGAACGAAAAATATCGTATTAAACATTCTAACAGTCCCAATCTGGAAAATCACCACACACATCACAAACTGTCCTAATGACGACCCGCGTGATTCTTAGCATGAACGAGTCCCTGTTCCACTGAAACGAAGAAGCAAAAGAGTCACATACAGTCATCTACGATAAGCAAGGTGTTCGAAACGTGACATTTGCTTCTGTTTCTGTTATTGATGCTACTGAAATGAGCATGTTGTCATGATCTCTCAACACTTGAACGAAACATCTGTACTGATTCTGTGATATATGAAGATGCAATGCTTACTGCAACATCCAACACTGTTTATCATGTCCAGCATAAGAATCTCATTATTTCAGAATCTCATTTGTGTGTTCCATTGGATGATAACTATTCTGCGTTCTCTCATTCAACTACTGTGGGTTATCTCCCTTCGAACGCTAAGTGTCATACATTAGAATCTTTCATGGTTTCGAATTACATTCGATCGACTGAGTGATACGTCATTCGATTTCAGGTAATCAGTCGTAATTCTTCCTGCATTACAACGGTAGTCTAATCTCAACAACTTTCTATGGATGTTCACGTCTGACTGACTGTAAACATTGCACTTTTCGAATTCCTTTCGAATTCCCAAAATATGCAATGAAAGAATCAGATC